AGTTCAAGTCCAGGCTAGTCTACAAGAGCTAGTTCCAGGACAGGCTCCAAAGCTACAGAGAAACCCTGTTTTGCAAAACAAAAAACAAAAAAAGAGGGTGCCACAACATGCCCCTGGGGAAGGGGGCGGCACATCTAGTGAAGTGAGGTGACACCCAGACACTCACAGGCCATGCAACCAATTCTTCTGATTTGGCAATTATTTATTATTCTTACAACTTGGTATTCATTCATAATATAGGATGAGAAAAGTAACATCTTTTAAAATCTAAAAAGGAAGCCATAATGCAAACTCCAAATATTTAAATATAACTAAATGTAAGTAGTCTCACTATATACATACTATATACATACACATACAGTTTATTTACCATCTTCCAGCAGTTCAGAGTACTAATATACTAATACTGTGCCACTTTTCCATGAGGCGCAGTGTGACCAAGAAATGGTCAAGACAGATTGCTGGGGAGAGTTCATGTAAAAGCTAGGAGTTATCTTGTTACTAAAGGAAAATTAGTCTGTGAGCTGCAGAGAAGACGGATGAAAAAGAAAACAACAGCCTACTCCCAAAGAGGAATGGAACCCTAGCAGGGAGAGGGAGCTAAACAGACACAGCTGGGGCTCTTCCAGTGGCTTCCCGTGAATGAAGCAACTTGAAGAAAAAAGCATTTGTTTTAATCCTGCTTCTGTTTGCTCCCCCACTTCCTAAACTTATTAGCTGTGGACAGAAGGTAGGATGTGAGCTTCCTCGGTCCTACCTGTCACCACAGAGCTGTCAGCTTGTCAAAGGGAGAAACAGTCTGCTAAAGCAACAGCTCATCAGACAGCCTTGCTAGCTACGCCTTCGAAGCAGAATCTGTCTTCACACCGTCTCCCCAAAACACTGCATCCAGTTGGGGTTCTCTACACTTCACCTACCAGCAATCTCTCCTATTTTAAAAAAATAAGCAAATGAAGCTGATCAAGTCTCCTGTCCACCCCACAGTTCTCAAAGGTTTCCTGCTGTACTTATAACACAATCCAAACCCCGTCCGTAGCTGTAAAGCACCCATAAGCTAGCTCTTGCCCACCTCTCCAACTTCATCACCACCCAAGAGCCCAACGCTCAATGTCCCTGGAGCCTTTCTCTTCCCTTCCTGATTGGTAGGACTCAGGTTCTGACTCGGCCAGTCATAGTGTGCCAGGCCATGGCTGTGTCTTAACACAGGTCCTACAGCTCCTGATGGCATGAATAGCTTTAACAACTTCTCTGTGGGCTCACAGGACTAGAGATACTTGCTGTGTGTTACATGACTTTCTCAAGCACCACAGACACAGCCTGAGATGAGAGGTTCGTGGGTGCACACTGTCAGGGACTCTGGGAGAGAGTGACACCGCACTGTTTTCTTGCACACAGAACTGTCCTAAGTTGGAAAGCACCTTTTTTTTTTTTTTTTTTTTTTTTTTGGTTTTTCGAGACAGGGTTTCTCTGTGGCTTTGGAGCCTGTCCTGGAACTAGCTCTGTAGACCAGGCTGGTCTCGAACTCACACCTTTTTATCTGAGTCACAGACACCATTTTATTTAAAAAAAAATTTAATTGAAGGGGTGCTTTGCCTGCACGTATGCTGTGTGATGCAGGAATGCAGTGCAGTGCCTGAGGCCAGAGAAGACTGTCACATCCCCTGGGACTAGTTACACATGCTTAGGAACCATCATGTGGGTGCTGGGAATTGAACCCAGGTCCTCTGGAGGAGCAGCCAGTGAGTTTAACTGCTGAGACTCTTAACTGCCATGCTCTGATATTTTTCTGTAACTGATTTTTTGATACCTGGGCAAACCCAATTCTTACCCTTGATCACTCCTGATAACTGAAGTAAAGTACCACACACAACACCATCTCATCCCATTACCCTCTTCAATTGTCTCATGTGTTTACATCAGTAAGAAATTTCACATTCATGTCTTTGCACTCTGGAGCAAACTGCCTTGCCTATTACCTGCTGCTATACAGGTGCCAGGCTGAGGAATTTATAAATGGGAGTTATTCCTTATGGTCTGGAGGCTGGAAAGTCTATGGTAATGTCTGACAAGGCTCTTCCTGCTACATCCTCACACAACAGAAGGTAGGTATCACATGGTGAGAAAGAGGGAGCATGCAGACTCAGCTGTCATCTTCTCATAAAGACACCAATGTTGTCATCGGGCTGCACACTCATCACTTAATCTACCTCCCTTCCAAAGGACCCATCTCCATCTACCATGGACGTATGGATTTGGGTATTACTGTGTGGTCAATATACATTCCTTGAGGGAGACGCGTCTGCTAGTAAATTCCTTGGGAAGTAAAACCTTGTCCCTCCCTATTCCTTGCTGAACCTCTAAAGCCAACTGCAATATTTGTACCCACTAGACACTATTTATTGACAATATATCTTATGTGCCTCAAACGTCTCCAAACATATTTCTGCCACGCATTTTCCTGGACTTTGCTATCACTTCTTCTGGTAATCATTCTGCTTACAGCAAGATGAAGAAATGAGAAATAAAGAATATTTAAAAGGTTATTATTACAAAATCCCACCCAGTCTATGCTACTGGCAGTGGGACCGGAAGCCAAGCAAGGCACTTCTCAATGCCCCTAGGCCCAGTACCCTCCATTAGTGCAGCTCTAAAGAACAGCATCAGAGTTATGAGGTCGCCTGCCTGAGACCTGTAAAGTACCACATGTCCTGCAGGTCCTCACTGGATCTCCAAGACCTCAATACACAAAAGATTCAGATACAGATTTTAATGTCATTTGGGAACTGCACGTTGGACAACCACCCCCAGAGTTTCCTAGGCAGGTTATCTAGAAACTGTGAACTCTTCAGCTAAAGAATGAACAGCAAGGGCCTGAGCGGAGGGATCACCAGCTCAAACTGCTCAAACCAACAAAAGAACCTTTCAAGGCTCTGCTCTGAAACTGATAGCCACAGTCCACATCAGTACTCACTGGATGCCTAAGCCTATTGGTCTTTAAAGGGAAACTTTAGCCTTTGAAAATGTTAATAGTACCTGTTGTCCTGTGGTCATTACTTGTTCCCAAAGCTGTCGATGGTGATTTACAAGTGTATCCCATCGTGCCAGTTTACAGATTAAATCTTAGCTTCATTTACATAAATGCAGACAATTATGATGAAGGGACACATATAAATCAAGCACATCTGTATGCTGTTCAAGCCCGTGTTCTGCGGAGTCTAAACCTCTCCCTAATTACCCTTTAATATGTGTAAAACCAGCCAGCAGAAATCCGTGTCTGTAAACAAGCAGAGAGGACTTTCTTTTCAACACGCCTTACTTTACAAATAAGCAGCCTGGGATTTCCTCGCACGGTGAACCTCGATGGCGCACTTAAGAACGGCACACCACGGGCCTCTAAAGGCCAAGCAATCACAAAGATCCTCTTACATAGCAAACGGGTGCTCTCATCCTCAGCCACCTACTGTTACAAGTTGGCTCGCCATTTACAGATCTCCCAGTGACCCCCAAATGGTGCTGAATCTAGAGCTACTTCAGAGAGCATTCCCCCAACCAGAATTCTATCCTTCACCCCATTGCTCCTGAATCGGAAGCCCTGAAGTGTAACTTCTAGAATCACCTTTTAAGCTAATCGGGGGCTTAGGATGAAGAAAGAAAAAAAAATAAGTGGTTCAGAAGTCTGGATACACCCAAAGCAGCATTCTGTGAATGAACAAGCTGAGGACACGAGAGGGTAGGATGTGTCGAAAGACACGCAGCTTGTAAGCAATAGAATACACAGGCTTGCGTACCCCTGGTTCCATTTACACCAATTCAAACTGTGTGTAGTTCAGCGGCACTTACAGTTCTTTTGCATGGGCAACCGCAACTTACTGCCCGCATACAGGAGAATAACGTTAGTGCGTTCGTTCTTCGTACGAGTTTCTGAGGGTCAACTAAGATAACATTCGTTATTTAATGTACTTAACAAGGCACCCGCTATATTGTACTTATGGGCTAGGTTACATAACTCACTTTTAAAAAAAAAAATGCCTGGTTAACTATAGAGGATTTTCTAAGCCACTGCAGTTACTAAAGGTACAAGGAACCCGTGTTGAGCTTTGAAAATCTAAGAAGACCCTAAACTCGTGATAAAGGTTTAAACTCATGGTATCTAGTGTCTCCCTTTTTCCAGCCAGCACCTATGTCTGCCAAAGTCCAGAGAATATAATTCATCACTCGGCGGTGAAGTAACTTCAAAAGCTGGCCTGATAGTTGCATGGCACCAGAGACTTCATCTCTCAATGACAACGATAATCTACAGACAAAAAAAAAAAAAAAAAAAAAAAAAAAAAAGCCCTTTTCTCCTCAACTGGTGCTTCTCGGGCGCTCCCAGGATAGATAAGCACTGGTCTAGGGAACCCTGGCCTTAGCAAACGGTCTCTCGAAGTCTCTCCGCTGTCAGGGAGTCAAGGAGCAGCGTCATCAGGCCCCGGGGCAAACAACAGCTGGGCCCAGCTGTGCAGAGAGACCGCTTTTCATGCTCGACCCCGTTCACCTCCTAAGAATCAGAAAAGTACAGAAGCGCCATCCCCGGACCTCCGCGGCGGACACAGCGCGGCCAACGAGCAGCTGAGGTTAACCCCGCAGCCTCGTTCCCAGGGGACAAGGGTCAAAGGTGACCCTGAATGACCCTGTAGGCCCTAGCTGCACCAGAAGGTTAAAAACCCTCTGGCTCCGTTCCTCCCCGCAGCGAAAAGTCTCCACCGCGAAGCCCGGACAGCTGCCGGAAGTGCGTCACCCCGCCCGCGGGCATCCCGGGAGTTGTAGTTAGAGGGCTATATCTGTCGCAGAATCATTCAGTTCTAACACACAAGAAAACACCCTACGGACTCTGGAGAGCGAGTGGCCTGCTTTCTGCCAAGTCTTAAGAGTCCTAGTTTGCCCGCTCGGCAGAGTGCGTTCGCGCGGCGCGCAGGCGCAGCCGCGGACTACAAATCCCAGCGTGCCCTGCGGCGCGCCCGCCGCCGCCCGGCTGTCGTCGTTGGTGCGGGCCGCGTGAATGGAGCTCTGCGCATGAGGCAGCGCCTGGCACGGCCCGCGCGGCGCCTACCTGTGCCCGGAACCTGAGTGCCGACTGCGGCCGTGCGCCTGCGCGCTCGCTTTCGCGCGCCGGCAAGCGCCCAGCCGTTGGCGCGCTAGCGGGGCGACGGTGCAAAGCGGCCCCGCGCGCCCCGCCGGCCGGTGGTTGCGGGGCCTCCCCGCCTGGCGCGGGGCTGCGGGCAGCCGTGGCGGCCGCCGGGGACCGCAAGGGGCGGCGCAGAGGCGGAACGGGCCGGCCGCGAGCCGCGCAGGAAGCGCCAAGCATGCCCCGTGACAACATGGCCTCCCTGATCCAGCGCATCGCTCGCCAGGCGTGCCTCACCTTCCGCGGCGGCGCCGGGGGCTCCGAAGCTCCGGCACCGGGCTTCCCCGAGAACCTGAACCAGCTGAAGAGTCTGCTGACCCAGGTGCGCGCCGAGGACCTCAACATCGCGCCGCGGAAGGCGCTGCCGCAGCCGCTGCCGCGCAACCTCCCGCCGGTCACCTACATGCACATCTACGAGACCGACGGCTTCAGCCTGGGCGTCTTCCTGCTCAAGAGCGGCACGTGCATCCCGCTGCACGACCACCCGGGCATGCACGGCATGCTCAAGGTGCTCTACGGCAAGGTACGCATCAGCTGCATGGACAAGGTGGACACGGGTGCGGGGCCGCGGGCGCCACCGCCTGAGCAGCAGTTCGAGCCGCCGCTGCAGCCCCGGGAGCGGGAGGCCGTGCGACCAGGAGTGCTGCGCTCCCGAGCCGAGTACACCGAGGCCAGTGGGCCCTGTATGCTCACGCCACACCGGGACAACCTGCACCAGATTGATGCGGTGGACGGGCCAGCCGCCTTCCTGGACATCCTGGCCCCACCCTACGACCCGGACGACGGCCGGGACTGCCACTATTACCGTGTACTGGAGCCCATCAGACCCAAGGAGGCCTCCAGCTCTGCCTGCGACCTTCCCCGAGAAGTGTGGCTTCTGGAGACCCCACAGGCCGATGACTTCTGGTGCGAGGGAGAACCTTACCCAGGCCCCAAGGTTCTGCCTTGAAGCACCCGCTACCTGGGAACGGTGGGCCAAAGTTGTGCCCTGCCTGGCTCGAGAAAGGCCTGGCTGCCCACGACCTACCATAAGGGCTCCTCTCTCTGTCCCCTACCCTGAGCGATGGATCTACTGGACTGACCAGCGCCTCATCTTGGACAACCTTGGGGAGTACGGCCCACTGGAGTACAGCCACCGGGCACGGTTATGGGGGCGGGCAGGCGGGAGGCAAGGTCGCTTGCTGGTACTGTCACTGCCACCAAGGCTTTGATTTAAGGGAGTGGGGCAGGGGACCCTAAAGCGCTTCCATCCTAAAGCCATAATGAAAATATTCTTGTTTCTCAAGCTCTACAAAATACACTAAACATTTTGAACCCCTCCTCCCTTCGGTGACTAAGATTTGTTTTCTCTTCTTCCCAAAGGACCTTTTGCTCCTTAATAATTTATTGCTGACCGTGCATGACCTTGAATTGTTTTTTAGTTAAAACCATTGGTTCGGTTTTAACAAAACAAAAACAAGCAAAAATACAAAACCGAGTTTCTAAAGTGAGTAGATCTGAAAAGACATCTTTCCAGCACTGCGGTTCACTCTCTTGGAGGAAGAGTTCTGTCCTCCCCTGGCCTAGTAGCCACATTTGGAGTTCTCAGGTAGCCTTTAGTAAGATTCACATGTTCTCCAGATCTGTCATTAAAACAGTTCTGTTGTTAGGGATTCACCTTTAAAGCAAAGACTGTATTATCCTCAAGTGACTTTTTTTCTTAGTTTTCTTCAAAGACGATACAGTAGAGTCAGGAGCTGAATCTGTTCTGCTTCCAAATAACTGAATGTAAAACCCATTGCCACCTGTTGAAATCCATACAATTTACTTCCAGGATCTTCCTGTAAAAGTGGGGACAGATACTCTAACCATTTTCTGTATTCTCCCAGGAACCCTGCAGAAGGCTGTAGTTCCAGCTGTGTTGCTGCTGGTCATATCCTAGCCCTCCCTTAAACAAGAGCCACTCTTGCCTACTGAAGTCCCTTCCTGCAGGAAGAGGTAGAAGGCCTGCAATACCCTGGGAGTGGCTCTGGATGTAGGCTGCCTGCCAAGCAGGCAAGAAGCCCTCACCTCAGTCCTCAGCAGTACATAATCCAGTATTGCACACACCTGTAACTCCAGCAATTAGGAAGTGGAGGCAGGAGGATCAGAAGTTAAAGGTCAGGCTTGGCTACATAGTGAATTTGAGAGGATCCTTGAATACCTGAAACACTAACATAAGTGTGTATATGTTTGTTTGTGTGTGTGTGTGTGTGTATACATACAGAGCTATATAATGGGTACATGGGATAGACAATTGAGAATTTAGCCATTTTAGGGCACCAAGAGTGGAGATTAGACCTGTGTGTACCAACTCTTGGAGCAAACACTAGCAGCTGTCTGCAGCATTAGCACCGGCTGGGTACCTTTACCTTGTTTACAAACGTGTTGGCACCCTAACATTTGGCCATGGAGCACCGGTTCTCCCTTCTTACTATTTATAGGGTTCCTTTTTATCACAGGCCTTTTCATAAAGACAAACTGTAGAAAAAAAACTTGTCCAGCTGTCTTGATTGCTCATGTGGCAATAGAATTCTAATATCTGTAATAAATGGAGACTTACTATCAAGGGTAGCTAGTGTTTGTTGACCTGGTAGGGAAGCTGCTTTTGACTCCGTGTATCTAGGTTACACAGACCCAGGCTTACGGGGTGCTTGTTCCCAGTCATTAAAGTGGTCCGAAAAAGCAAATTATTGATGGTGTGGCTTGTGGGTTTTTTGTTCTGTTTAATAAAAATGAAAGTAACAGGCCAGAGAAAACCTGTTGGAACTCTGACACAAATCCAGCACCAAGCACTTCCACCAAGGCTGCTGGAGTTCAAGTTGCTTCCCATCGTAAGGCTTAAAATGGCTTTGGATCCCTGTGAAGCAGCCCTTTGAGCCACTCATTTGAAAATCTAGATAGCAAGTGATGGTTTTAAACTTGACAGTATTTTTTTTTCATAGACCAGCAGTGAGTGTAGTTTTTGGCCACATACAGTTTTTGAATTGTAGCAAAAGTTGATTCTTTTACAAAAATCATTGAAAGTCATGTATTTGTTACAGCATACTTGGAGGTACTTTAAACTAGCCTGTAGAAACCTAGCCTGGAACTAGGCTAATAATAAAAAGTATTATGAAGGCCTTTATTGCAAAAACGGAGGGGGGGTGTTCAAGGTTTATTATAAGCAATTTGGAAAGAAAAAAACCTAAGGTGCTTTTCAAAAGAATAACTGAAATTGTGGGCTAAAACAGCAATACTGTGTTCCTCATTCGTTCAATAAGAACAGTGAAACTGTCGTTTCCCTAACACATTGAGTAAACTTCGGTGAAAACAGTGTAATGTGTTTTCATGAGCCACCATGGAAAGAATCTGCACATTCCTAAGACGGCATGTGCACTTCTATGCATAAACTATTAGCTGTGACTGCTGCCATTGTGTTTTCATACAGGTCTACACCAGAGATGGTGGTCTAGACCCGGGGATAGAAGTTACCTTCTTCCCTTCGGGAACACCAGTGAGCACAGTGGTGTTAGCCAGTTAACTTTTCTGATGAATAATAAATGCAATAACTGCAGCTCATGGATGAGAAACTGTCTGTCTGTCTAAATACTCTGAAACTTTTAAATATCGTAGTTATATCAGTGATCAGTTATATTGATTGATGTAAGATTGTACCTTCCTACTCTTTTGAGAACTGATGGGTTTAATACCAAATGCTGCTGATTAAATGAAAAAGTCTGCCTTTGAAGTAATGTGTTTTATCAATAAGAGTGAGTTCTCTGACTTTTTAACTTGGCTAGAGTCTCACTATCAACATGTACACCTTTCATTCCCCCTTTGCCTTGTCTCGTAGGTTCCTCGATTTTGCTATCTGGGGAGGACTCTGTCCACTCCGATTGCAAATAAGTCCTCTGTTGTAGCTCTCCCGCCCAGCAGAGAAGCAGTGCATCCCACTTCAGACCTCTGCCGGCGTTGAGCTATCCTGACAGCATTTACTCCTAGACCTGCAGTCCTGAATTCAGAATCCAGATGTTCCAAATGTGCATTGGTCTGTTGCACTGAGGTTTCCGCTGTCAAAGAAAGATAATTTGTTAATGATACCCAAGCTTTAAATGCAGGGGTGTTTACGTTTCTGAGTAAAATCTGTGTACTTATGGGAAATAAAGGCATGTCAAAAATTATGTGGAAATAATGTTGGTTATTACAAAGTGGAAAAGGGAAACATTACCTACAATAACTATATTTTAATTATTGTTAACGCTCACAGTTTATTTCATAACATATCGTGCCAAAAGCCAGTTACCTACAGATTTCCAAAGACCAAGAAGTGGTATAAACTTAAAATTACTTTAATGTCTAATTACACTATTTTGCTGTAACAGGCCACTCTTGTATTTAACCTAAAGAAAATAACAGTTAACTTTTATCCTAAATGAAAAAATATCTTTAAGTATTTTCATCTCTTGGTCTTGTCTTTCCTTACAAATTTGATGGTGATTTGAACTGGCAGCATTTCAGGCGTCCGCACCTACCTGCGTCCACATAGACACTGAAGTTTTACAACAGTTGCGAAATGTTTATAAAATAATTTACCTTGATCACATTAACGCTTAGCATATGGAAATTAAATAACCTGGCTTGAGAACGTTAGACTTAATCAACAGTTCATACAAACCATCACAGAGGCATGACTCTTAAGGAATCCCTCTCCACAAAACAAGCTGAAACATTTATAGTATTATCCCTTAAAGCACAGGAGCAAGAGATTAAAGGAACCAAACTTGCATTTCTGTGCTGATTTCTTGGACAAACTTTAAAATGCATTGAAAATTGAGCTGAAAACTTTTAAGCTGAGAACCCTGGTTAAAGACGCTAGCTGACCTGCTGTGTGATACTCTGGCCCTGATCAAGCAGGTGTGCTCGGTTCTTAGGGCTTGTTGGTGAGGTTTGCCGCACACCAATGTGAGACTGATGACATGGTCCATGTGTGAAGCATGGGGAGTTCTTTCTGTTTTCTTCAAGTGGCATTCACCCTGGCTTTTAAAAACATGACTTAGGTGGTCTTGATTGGAGATGCTGTAAAATTAAAGTTTGGAAAAATAGTTATAAACTAAAAAAGGTAAGTGTACTACATCCTTAAATAAAGTTCCTCGGAAGAGAAGTATTTGTTTAAAAGTAGCCATAATGTAACATTGCTTTATAGTTGCCACAGTGGATAAACAGTGGCAATACTCTTGACAGTTGGCAAGCTGAAATCAGTGGGAAATTAAAAGACAAGGAAAACGTCCCACCCTCAGGTTTAGAAATTTCTACTTAGGAGTTCTGGGAAGCAGTTTCTGTATCCTTAAAGTGGGGATAAAGGTAAAAACAGAAGCAAGGGCAAGCTTTCCTGATGAGACTGAGCTGATTATTGGACACTAGGTGCTAATTCTCAGGGTAAAGATGCTAATAACAAAGACACAATCTATTCGCTTCATACGATTCTTGTTTTGTATTTATAACAAAATCACAAAAGGTTCCCAGAAGAAGAAACCTTACACTGTATTACTTTGCAAACCATTATCTGGTATCTTGGGGGGAGGCTACTTATTAAGTTTAGATTGCATTGGAGTTTTGTAGGTTGGTGTTCACCTATCTTACCTAGCAAGCTATTTTGAGAATCACTTCTGGATCCACCAAACTTGTGACAAATGATCCTTCCAAATATGGCCAGTCGTCTGAGAAGCCAGGACTAGAGAGAAATGAGTCCTGGGGTAATTCCTGCAACCACCCATTAATGTTGTCATCAGCAATGTCTGAGCAATTTTGATCTGAAAGAATGATAGCTCTCTGAAAAAGTTTTCTGTGGTCATAAGATTAATCCTGGAAACCCAAAAGTCATTTCCAATTAGACCATGCCGCCACACTTTCCTCAAAGCCACAGCTCCACTGAGCCCCAGGCCGTCCATGGTCGGAGTTGTGAATGCAGCTCTGTGGTTGTCATCTCCAAGTGGGCACTTGTTTGTAAGTGTTTGTTTTCCGGAGCCCACTCAGGAGCAGAGAGAAGCTATAGGCTGTTACAGGGGATGGAACAATGAGTCAGGAGACTTTTACACTGATTCAAGGGGGAAATCCCTGAAAACCAGCTATGGCTTGCGAATGCAGGCTAGAGTGAGACTTGGTGTCCACAGGCTAGCAAGGCAGCATGGAGGTCCTATGCTAGCGCCCTCCCCCCACAGTGGTCTTAGGGCCACAGTTCACAGGCGAGAAGAGCTGTTTCAGTTCCACCCAGGAGGTACCTCGTAAATGACCTTCTGCAGCAAAAAATATTGTTGAAAAGTA